ACACTATTTCTACTATGTGTCTTTTTTATCCTGAACTTAACAGCCTTTCTTCACCAACTCCCTGTCTTCACTGGGCAGTAGCTTCCCGGGAATGTCTGGGTACAAAAGTTTATCAAGCTACATGTTATGGATGTTAATATTTTACGAATGTAAAGGAATTTTCAGGGCTGGAGTGATGAATCAGCAGTTAAGAGCACCTGTTTTTGCACAGGTCCCAGGTTTGATTTCCAGCACCTAACTGGCAGATTACCGCCATATCTAACTTCAGTTCCAGGAACCTGATGCCCTTTTTTTCCCTCCAAGGGCACCAGGTACACAGGGGGTGCAAAGACATACATGCAGACAGAACACTCATACACGTAAAATAAATAAATGTTTTTAAAAAGGAAATTTTCAAGAAGTTATGGAAGGACCTCCCAGAGGTTTGTTTTGTTTTGTTTTGAGACAGGGTCTTTCTATGTAGGACTGGTTGGCCTAGAACTCTCTATTTTGACCAGGCTGTCCTTGAATCTACTTGCTAATAATGTTACTCTAATGTACATTTTATCATGCAACACTTAAAGCTCCAGGCCCACCTGTAGACCTTAAGGAATGGGAGGGCAGAGACCAAGACTTGCACATCATCCTGGATTCTGCTCTATGTGCGTGGGTAGGGAGTGCTTGTCCCGAACCAGACAATGCTACGTCTGATGGAAACCGTGAAGGGAAACCCTGTGCCATTCCTGGCTCACTCTTGGAGAAAGCACCTTTGCCAAAGCCAAGGGGTTTGGAATTGGGCAACTTGGGAAGACGTCTGTATTTAACTCCACAGTTGCTCACCACCTGACTTGGTAATTTTTTCTAATAATACGATACCTGATATTCTGAAACCAGTAAAATGGATGTCTGTTCAAAATGTTCCCCTGGATGTCCAGGTATTTGGAGAGGAGAAAGAAAAAGAAACCATCTCATTTCCAATCCACCAATGTGGTCCTGGGTACAGTTTATTTTTTACTTTTTCTTCTTGCCCAGGCCTGTGCTGCTGACCACTTCTTCGGGGTACACCTCCGAGGTCCTTAGATCCACCTCAGCCATAGTCCCAAGCCTCTTCCGACGACAGCTCTTCAACTTGTTTGCACGAGCTTCCTGCCACCCTACTCACTCTGACAGGAGCTGTAATGCTTCCACCTTCTAAAGACATTGGCAGCGGCCGTGCCTCCATCTGCCAGGTGCTTGTCCATCTGTTTTGGCTATTCAGCGGTGTCCCTGCTATGTTTTAACTTCTCAATTCCCAACAGTGCCTTCAGAATCACAGCAAGTAGTTTATTTGCTACAGGATAAACAGGAGATGCTTTGGGTGGCTAACGGGCTGCAAGTGCTCAGGAGCAGCCGTTGGGGGGTGTGGGTTACACTGCAGTCTCAAGGACAGTCCTGTAGAATGCAGAGATGTTTGTTCCCAACCCTCCCCAGCTGGCTGATACAGCCCTAGTGGGTAATTACATGCAGGTGGAGAGGTGTAAGTGACATTAGACAGTGTGGCTTCCGAGGGACAGAGCCCTGGCAGTCTGCAAGCAGTGCATCTGTCTATAGAACTGTTATTGCTTCTCCACACCACTGTCTCAAGAGACACATTCCCAGTTCACAGCTCAAGTGTGGATCCTACTGGAATGAGTGATCACCTCTGTAAATCTGTCCCTTGTATATATAATTTACAATAATGCGTTTCTAGACCTTGAATGCTGGGAACTATAGCAAAAATAAGCTAGGGTATGCATGGAGGGGGCACTTGGACACTTACTAAGACTGTCTTGAAGCAGGCAGTTGGATTATGTGTCCCCTCTAGACTGTCACGATAGAGGAACTAAATTACACTCCTCAAGACTCCAGGGGCACACAAACTGATGCCTGGGATTCTCTATATCACCCTTGATTGCATTACCAAAGCTTTCCAAGAACTGTGGTCATTCTTGGTGGGAGGAACCTGAAAGGAAAGAGCAGGAAGGTTTGACGGTAGAAACCCCCTCTCTGCTGCTGCCCCCACCCCCACACAAGTGCAGAGCTCTGAAGACGTGTGTGTGTGTGTGTGTGTGTGTGTGTGTGTGTGTGTGTGTGTGTGTGTGTGCGTGTGCGCGCGCGCGCAGAATTCTGATGGAGGCAGGCTGAAGGAACGCCCTGGGGGGAAAGCAGTGACAGTGCAAAGGGAGGAGGGAGGAAACAACCAGTGTGACTCTGAGGTGCCAGGTGTGACACCATGGAAAATACCGAGAACAATGTAATACTTCCCCTTAGTGAGATTTGGTAATAGTTTTTTGAATGTAACCAAACAGAATCTATACACTAGCATTAAGAACATTCTAGCCACCCTTCCCTGAGAAGGAACAGCTGGTTCTGAAGGTCGACTCCAACCTTCAAAACAGGAGTTGTAAAACCATCACAGTTTTTAAAAGAGAATTAAATCCTTGGGTTTGATTATTACAGCAAAAGGCAGCAAAGAAGTTCACTTTATTTTCTATGTTTCATTTTTTGAGAGTTCAACAATATTTGCACAATGGCAGCAGACCTAAATTTTACTAAAATGGACTCATGCCAAAAGACTAGAAATACCATATTTGAGTGTTTGCTGAATGTTCTTATGGTTAACAAGGAAGAAAAAAATTCTACTGCAAGCATCATTAACTGCAAATATAGTGTTTAAAATGTATGCCAAGTCACGTCTCCCGTAGAGAGGGTTAATTCACTTTTCCAGCCATGATTAAAGATGCAGTATTTAACACGTGCGTTAAAACTTGCCAAGAGTTACCTGAAAGGTCAGGCAATAAAGGCTGGGTTGATTAAAAGATAATAATCCTTAATAAAGTGAAGTCATGAAATATGGTATGGCTGTGATCCCTCTTCACTGTGCCTGTGTTCTGACTTCACAGCCTCTTGTCTGCATCAACTCACTGGGTTTTCATGCCTCAGCACTCCCCCCACCCCCACCCCCCACCCCCACCTCTGCGCCAAGGTTTTTGCCTGGGAACCGAATACAGGCTCTTCTTCCAGAGAACTCCAGCAGGAAAGAGCTTTTCCCTGCAGTGCAGTAGGATGAGGAGGCCAGAGAGAAGTGCAGAAGGTTACCTAGGACAGATCCAGACCTCGGGACATGCAGCCTTGTGCAGATGAGTCACAGTCCCTGCACACCTTACCTCTGCAAAGAGTTCTGTCATTTCACAAACTAGTTGGCAGTTCTTAAGCTGGGATTCACCTCATCTATCACAGGACAGCAGCTGTCATCATCATCGTTACTATTATTTGAGATAGGGTCTCATATGTAGCACTGGCTGTGCTGGAACTCGCTATGTAGAACAGGCTAGGTGAGCACCCCAGGGCCATAACAGGGATGGAGAAGTATTCTTTAACCAGGGTTAAAAATTGGGGTATTTCCTCCATTCAAACTCTGAAGAAAAATGGACGAGGAGCAGGTAGGGCTCAAGGAGGGTTGGCAGGGTGGGGGAGCTGGGCACATACCGATCCACTTTCAGAGTTAATCAGTTATATCAATGTGGGCAGTTTAACTAGTTCCCTTAACTTTGTTCCCTGCTCTGCAAAGTGGAAATAACAAAGCCCCCCTCAATGGGTTTGAAAGGCTTTAGAAGATATGATGCTAGTGATACAAGCAGCCAACGTCTGATGTCAAAAGACTTGGCAAAATTCTAAGCTTTCATGCTTGCAAGTGGGGTGGGGGTGATTAAGAGTATGGGGTCTGGGGCTGAAAGGCTTTGACTCCCATCTTGCCCCCACTATTATAACTGAAGGCATCTGATAAGTGGCATAAACTTCTGACTCAGTTTCTCTATGATTAAAGTGGAATTTTATTAAAAGTTGTAGCCACCTAATAAATAGTTGCTGCTTTTATCTTACTGGGAATAAAAAATAGCTTGTTTCTACCTCAATCAATGATGCAGCGAATTAAAGGAGACATCAGTACAGTGTGTGCTTTTTTTTTAAAGAAGACTGTAAGCCTTTATGAATTCTGGGGCAGAATCAAGCTGTGATGCAAAGGGTGGGCTAACCGGTAATATGAAAGAAAAACTCAAGAGGGGCTATAAACCACCCACCAGGGAGCTATTTCTTTTGTAATGTGCATTCCATTTCTTCGTTCTCATGCTTTTTAATTCCTTCCACATTTCCTGCCATAATTATCAAATGTTTAGTTTCTGACCTCACTTTTCTGGAGACTGGAGCCCGGGGAATTTAGAATTGTTTATTTTCTGTCCATAAACCTTTGAGTTAATGGAGGGGCTTGTGAGCATAGGGTTTGTTGGTTTGTTTGCAGTGTCTCAAGAGGTCACTGGAGTTGAAAGGAAAACATTACCAGAGAGAAAGAAGGAAAGAAAGAGAAGAAAAGAAAGGAAGGAAGGAAGGAAGAAAGAAAGAAAGAAAGACAGAGCTGCTTCATGCTTTAACTGGAAATCAGAGGCTCCCAAAGGGAGAGCCGCAGATTAAGGGAAAATTTGAACTGTAAAAGGCTCTTATGGAGCCCAGATAGTAACAAAAAGAAATCCATGACATTTTAGAAAGAAGAAAATGCATTTTTGAGAAACACAATTCACTCTATAAAAGAGAAAGGAAATTTCATTTTGCTAATTAAACAATCTTTTCAGTCCTCCCCCACCAAGGAAAGACTTGGAAAGGAAAAGTCCGCAACTATTCGTAGTTTCCTCTCAAGTGAACAGAACTCTAGGCGCCTGTTAGAACTCTGCTGTTGCTCTGGCCGCCGCCTCGGCTCCTATCCGCCCAGTCTGTCCCCTCTCCTCTCTGCCCTCTCCCCAGCTTCCCTCCATATTAGGCGTGGTGGGGCTCCGGTTTATGGACCAAACTACTTCAGAATTGAGATTTAAGTTTAGTAGAATTTCTGCTCGGAGGAGCCCAGAGTTCCACTCTATCGCAAGCGTGAGGGCCCCCAGTCCCACCCCCAGAGAGCATCCTTGGGACACACACCCGGCCGCCGGGCGCGCAAACCCCAGAGACCGGTCACCTACCTCGCCGTGGACCAGGGCGACGGCCACCAGCGCTAGCGCCAGCCAGTGTTTCCACATCTGCGGAAGAGAGAAGAGGGTGAGACTGAAGGTTCTGGGCCCCGCGCGGACCCTGGAAACTTCCTCGGGTCCCACAGACTCGTCCCCTCCTCCCAGCACCCCCGGAGCCCGCAGCCACTCAGCCTCCTCGCTACGCTCACCGTGCTCGGGTCCCTGGCTCCGGAGGACGTAGGGTAGGGCAGAGAGCTGAAGTAGGAGATGGGATCCTTGCTGGTCGCCAGGCTCCGAGGAAGTCCGACTTGGGCTCGCCGCCCCTTAAGACCCCTCCTTCCCCGCCCGCCGGCCCCCCCAGCTCCTCCCCATTCTCCTCCCCTTCTGCAGCGCAGCCCCCGCGGCTCCCGCTGCGCTCCCTCCTCCCGGCCCCCGCCCGGAGCCCAAGAGCTTCCAAGCTCCGCAGGCATCCCTGTCCTCTCCTGGACCCCCACCAAGAGTCCTAAGGCATCTCAAGAGAAGGCACAGGGTTTCGTGTCTCGAGGGACCCTGCAACAAAGGCGGGGGGGAAAACCGCGGAAACCCTGTCCCCGGGAGGGGCGCTGGCCTGCAGCATTCCGGGTGACAGCAGGAACTAGCTGCAGGCTGCAGAGCCTTCTAGGTGGTCAACACAGTGGGCGCCCATACAGGGGCTGGGACTTGAACCTGAGCATCCCAGAGCCACCCCTCACCTCTGAAAGGGACAGAGAAAACAGAGGATAAGAGGGTGTTATTGCAGCCCAAGTAGAAGTAGTCAGTACTGGAGCCTGAGAAGGGCTGGTGAACAGAAAGCTACTTTTGCATTCAACTGGAGAGAGGACTTAACTGCCCTGCTCTGCTAAGAGTCTGAGTGCAATGTTTTTATATCCTTCCCTCTAATCCAGGAACATGGTCCCCTCTCCCCCATCCACTCCTCACCAATGTTCCTGTTATAACACACCCTTGCCATTTCTGGTAATTTCCATATCGATGCATCCTATAGCAATCTTCAAAGGTGTGCCGCCTCTATAAGGGCGCTGACCCCCTATGTTAAGAATCGCTTTTCTGCCCTGACTTTCCTGTCTCTAGTGACCAGGAATAAAACCACATGTGACACTTCAGACCCAACATCTGGATGAGCCCCACTTTCCACCAGCTAAGGGTTCCACTCATTACTTCTTTCAGAGTTTGCCTCCAAAACCCCTGTACCGTTCCCATAACAGGGCGGTCACCATAACCTAATCGGTTTCCTGCAGAGATCTCCTCTGCAGCAGCCCTTCAGTCCTGTGCACACATCTACTTTCCTATTGCAGCCTATTCCCAGCTCAGAAATTCAAGGAGCCTCCTGTTGACTCTGGGCATTCTCATTCTTGTCTGCACTGAGAGAAACATTTGACTCCAGGCATACTCATTCTTGTCTGTACTGAAGAAAAACAATCGCCATTTTCTTTCACTCTGGGGTTCGGACACTAAGGCTTCATGTCTTCATCCACGGAGAAATTTCATCCACACTCTTCTCCCACATCAAAGCCAGACTTTCTGCCTTCTCTGTAAGCACCCCGTTACTCTGTGTGCCTAAACTTATCTGTCTTGTCTTCACCCTCTTCACCAGACACCCCACTGCTCACATCGGACCAGGTTTCATGGTGTCCTCTGAACTTGTCATAATTTGTCTTCTCCCAAGGCCTGCTGAATACCTACTACTGAAGCTTTAGAAGGTTTCAAAACTATGCCTACATTCCACACTGAGAGAGCTACAGGTGTTGCATGGATAGAAACCAAAGTGTAAACTCGGTTACTGGTCAAAATGGAATGTTGGCCATGACTTTAGAGCTGATCGGGCAATGGGTCTGCTGGTGCAGAACCCCAGAATTGAACAGACTCCACAGGCACAGGTAGAGTTGGAAAACGTGCTTGAATAAACAGCTGCTTGGAAAAGCAAAAACAAATAAAAACCACTTGCTATTATTTATACCTAAGAGGGGTGTCCTAGTTCATCTTGACTGTTGACTTGGCATAGCCTGGAGTTATCTAAGAGAGAGTTACCTGGATTACATGGGCCCGTGGAGTCTGTAGAGACACTCTCTTGATTGATAATTGATGTTGAAGGACCTAGCCCACTTGGGTAGTTCCATTCTCTGGGCATGTGGTCTTGGGTTGTACAAGAAAGCTAGCTTTGTGTGAGCCTGCAAGCAAACCGGCAAGCAGCATTCCTCCATGGTTTCTGCCCCAGGTTCCTGTTTGGGGCTCCTTCTGCAGTGATGGACTGTGAGATAAAACAAAATCCCTCCTAAATTGCTTTTGATCCGGGTGTTTTATTGCAGCAACAGAAAGGAAAATAGAACACGGGGAGAGTGACGCAGTCTTTGAAACACCGGCCAGATACTGTGTGCCTCCCAACTTGTTGGAATGAGATGAGTAGGAAGTAGATGGCCTGCATCATCTGTCATCGTGCTAGAGTTGAAGAAGGGAGCCCTGATGTATTGAGTTTTGTTTCTGTTCTCTAATAATTAACAATGTTTTGTACTCTTCAAAATCGGCAAAGTCCTTCTTCTACTGAATTCGCTTTCTTGTTTTTAGAACCCAAAGTGAGTTTCACTGCATCGGTTGCACCTTTCTCAACAACAGCTTGGGGTAGAAGAATGTGTTTAAGTTTGAACTCAGATCAACCTGGCTTTCTACCCTGGCATCGCACTTGACAGCTACTAACCTTTGCTCTCTCCTAACCTAGGTTCTGGCATCTGACGGATGACAGCAATAATGCCCTTCAGGAGCTTGTGAAATTTAAAGTGGTAGGTTATGAAAAGTGCCTGGTAGATAGATTGTAGGCTTCTGTATATAGTAGCCATTCTTACTTCATCAATCTGCCTTGCATCTAAATTGTACCCAGTACTATGTGCCAGGCACATGATAGCATCCAGCATACCATATTTTTCGTTAACTGTTACAGCAAACTTGAAGGGGTTTTAAAAGTGACTTCTGCCTTCCAATAAGAAAAATGAAGATCAGAGAAATTCAGATATTTTCCCAAGGTCAGATAGCTTTGCAACTTGGCATTTTATTGTACACTATTATTCTCTGGTTACTATTTAGGACATAATTGTTCTTGATTCAGAGTATGAATATACAATCAAAAATACAGTAAAAAAGAAGTAAAAATAACCTCAAAACAAACTATAAGAGGGAGTTGACAGTTGTGTTGGTGAGGAATATTTTTCATTGTGGGTAATAGATACTTAAGCAGCTTCTCTATAGAAGTCAATTTGGATAAAGTGTTGCAGTTAACTGAAATTTAGTGGCCCTGTATTGCTGAGAAGTACCAGTATAATGACTGGATTTAGGCAAATGTTCACCTAGGAGTTTGAACACGTCCCCAGGGCCTTTGTTTCTGCCTTCAGCAGCATTTCTTTCCCTGGTTTTACAGGGTGCTTCCTGAGAGCTGTAGTCTGTGTCCTCAGGGTGATAAACTGACTGACAGTGGTCTCGTGGAGGGGAGGGAGTTAGCCTTTCTCTGGAGACGTCATAGAAGTCTTAAGACATGCTTTTAAACTCCAAGTAGAGTTTCTTGTTCTTTCCCCCTTCTTCCCTCCCTCTCTCCCCCTTCCTCTTTTTTTTTTTTTCTCTTTTTTTCTGGATAGAGTCTCACTCTTTGGCCTTAAACTGGCAGTGGTCTTGTTTCGCCCTCCCCAGTACTGAGATGACATGGGAACCACCAGCTCCAAATTGACTTTCTTGGTGTCTCCTTAACTGGTCACTGTGACGAGGGAATTGGCCAACTTAGACCAGTGAGGAACTAACCTTAGATCCACCTAAAAGCCCAGGCTAATAGTGGCTAGACTTGCAGGAAATGGACGCTCAGAGTAGCTGTGAGTCTACAGCTTACACTGTGAATTCTGCTCTGCAGAGTGGGTCATGGAGTCTCCAGAAAAGATTGGAAATAAAATTCTAACTTTCATTTACTTTTACACATATAAAAACAGAATGTGGCTTTGCAAATATATAGGTTAAATCTGGCTCCATATTCAGCCAGTGTGCCCAGCAGTCAATTAAACCCTACTTGCCAAACTCCATGAAGTGAGCCAGTGGAAGTGACAAGAGGTAGTTCCCTGTAATAGACTGTGATGTACCACGGTATGGATTTATTTATTGTATTGTTTGGTTTAAACTAGATTAAATGCTATTTCAGCTAAAACAAACAAACGAACAAACAAACAAAAAAACAGGACCTCATGCTGAAGGTAAAACTTTTCTTTGAAAAGCTTAGGGAAGGGTAGAGTTGACATAGTTCCTACTTCTGAAGAGTTCACTGTCTGCCACACTAGTCCAGCAAAAATAATAGCAATCAGATCTGATAAGTAAATCAAAAATTTAAAAGTAACGATAAGCCTATTTAAAATGCAGAGGTTAGAGGTTATTTAACTCAGTGGCATGCACATTCATCATTATTAGTGAAACCCTGATCTTAAGTGTCCTGGGGTACTGGTTAAGTGCTTAGAATCAGCAAGACGTTTAGAATGATCATCATCTTCAGTGATGTTTAAAGGCATGTGCCAGTCAATACAATACTTGGGAAAATTTCCCTCCATTAAGTGTCTTACAAAATACATATCTTATCCGGGTGGTGGTAGCACACAGCTTTAATCCCAACACTTGGGAGACAAAGGCAGACAGATCTATGTGAGTTCAAGGCCAGCCTGGTCTACAAATCTATACAGAAAAAACCCTGTCTCAAAAAAAAAAAAAAAAGAAAAGAAAAGAAAAAGAAAAAGAAAGGATGAAAGGATGAAAGAAAAAGAAAAAATACATATCTTTGGGGGAAAGGTATCTTTCTGTTTTAGAGGTAAGGATTCAGAAGGCAATTCAATAGGATAGCTTGCCACACAAGCTGGTGGCCTGTGTTTGACTCCTACACAGACAGTGGCACAAGCCTGTAATCCCTGGGCTGATGATGAAGATACAGGTGACTCTCTGCAGCTTAGCCTGGCTTACTTGATGAATTTCAGGCCAATGAGAGACCCTGTCTCAAAAAGCAAAGTGGACAATGTTTGAAGAATTTCATCTGAGATTGTTCGCTGACTTTCCCATGTACTCACACACACATGCATACACACTCCCACTCACGTATATTTACATACATGCACATACACACAGATGTGTAGTAGAATTAATTAAATGAGGAACAATATGAGAAGATAAAATTCATTCTTTGCTCCTCACGCACATCTGGGATAGTTGTTTTCCCATGTCTTTGGGTTTTATAAAAACAGATTCTACCAAACACTAATGGAAATATTTAGGAAAATATTTGCATTAGCAAT